TACTTATTATAATAGTTAACAAATAATGCATGAAACGATTTAGAGAAGTTACGTCGTGTCAGCCACAAGACGTCCACGACGTCCACTGCTGAAAATAGGCTTCCTTTAGTGACTTCCCGATCAACCGGTACTACACGATCCGGTTGCCGGGTATCCGGCGCCGGGTACCCGGGGTGGCGTAGTGTGTGTCCCTGTCTGTAGCTGTCACAGGTACCAGCGTAATTTGTTTGCACTGTGCTACCGGAAGGTGTAAAAAGGTACTTACAGCCTGTCTTTTTAATCATGAAAATAATGTATTGAGTTCTAAAAATTAATCTAAAAGACGAGGACGTTGATAAACTGAATATTTTTTTTTTCACCAACATGCTACCACCTACCTACTTCTGACAGAGCTCGAGGCATCGTCTTTCTGATTTTCAAGATATGTTTAGGTACTTAATTAAGCACATGTACATCTTGGTACATTATCATGTAGTGTAGAATACCATGTAGTCACTTCAAATAAATATGTCGATCTTCGTCAGTATCTAATTTCTAAAATCACATTTTAATTAATTCGTTCTTGAAACATACTTCTCTGACGAGGGCACATCAAAAATTATTTATCAATGACGTTATGCACACACTGTCGACCCAAATTGCTATCCTCAGTAGTGATAATTTATTACGCGATGCAAATGAATTTATAGTATTTCACCCTGAACTTGACCAGTAGTAGCAGCCATTTTGTGACGGTGAATTCTCATTTTAAAACGTTATCTAGATATTTTGGGTCAGGGAGACAATTTGTTAGGTAAGATTTATGTCTAGACAAGAATTTAGCTCTCATCGCAGTTATGAAAAGAAGGGGCAATCAACTGTTTTGTATTTTATAAATATATGTATTTTTGCGCGTTTGGCTGTTTATTTGATTAATGGTACATACATTCTTTGATAGTTTGCAGCTTTAATGCAATGATGTATTTATGATCATGATTATTTACTGCTGCGTAAAAGCAGAGACATGTTTTGTTCCTACTGTGACTATAACGTAGATAATTTTATATTCTGAGACAAACATGTTTTTATCATTTAAGAAATTTCCACACATTTAGCATGTTTGTTTTCCTTTTAATTGAGGACAAAATATTTACTCACGCTTTGTGATGAATGATCGATTGATCTATAAATAGCAATCAAAGGAATGGCAGTCTGTGCTTCCTGGTTATAACGAGTGATAAAATAAATAATGAATCATCTGATTAATTGAACTTTTTTATAGAGATTCGATAATTATTAGAAGAGCAGGGAGATACTAACTATTCAAATTCAATTCCGAAATATTTATTTCAAAATTATCTGCATGAGAATTAAATAAAATAATAAAGAAAAAAATACTTACCAATCAAACTAAAAATTAGAAAGATAAACACAATTGACATCTTGAGGCAAACATTCGTGATTCAATTACAGAAAATTAACGAAGTTTAAAATAAAATTAAATGTATCACACAAAAAATTATGCACTCAAATTCGCACGTACAACGCAACGATAGTGTTGTAGCCAAAACGCACAAAGGCAAGTGAACGCGAAAAGCGCGCGAAAACCACTAGTGTTGGAAGCTCACCGTGTGCGAGGGCGTGGGTGGAGAGCTCACACATGCCAGAATACTATTAGAACTTTATAAACAGGTTATTGAAGTTCACAAATCACGTTCTGCATACTCGTAAATTAATATCAATGTCACTGTTACTTTTGTTACGCGAAACTACCGAAATTACATTAGCATCTACGTTTGTTAGCACAAGAACCGTAAGGTCATAATTACATTGATCTAACTATTAACACATTCATTAGATCATACTTAAAAGTATTTTTGCGAAATATGTGAACCGTTACAATAAAGTCTGATGTTTTAAAATCAAACTGAATCTGGGCCAAACGTTTTAAATATAAAATGCAGGTTTTTTATAATATTTCTTTTATTGGACAATACAGTTTACGATTCACAAATAATGATGACGCCACGATTGCACTACCACGAACTCACGAAAACAAGTATAATAATTGTGCCTTGTTCTCAAAGCTTCGCGACAGCTTTGAATCAAAGGGACAAAATTATCTTTTCTGAAAACCACACGGGACTACAAAATCTTCTATTAGGTTTTAAAACTACGACGTCAATTTCGCAGCGTTTTCAAGATTTGTGACCATTTGAAATATGTGATCTTGAGAATCAGTTTCCCATCTTTGTTTTAAAACCCTTCAAAGCTAATTCTGTACATTGTACCAGATCAGACGTGTTTATTGCAAGTGTGGTAGCAGCAAGGATGGTACGGTGGGTTGGGGCAGGTGAATGCTTGGCAGGGGGGTACACAAGGGCAGCACTCGCCCGGGTACCAGACAGTGCGCGCGTACCGTCCGCTTGGCCTCGTGCATGCGCCGTGGTTGAAGCAGTGCGCTTTGCAAGGGAAGTCGTAGCAACACGGTCTGAAGGAAGAATAATTATATTGACAATAAATGTTAGGGATTTGGGTAGTCCATAAAACTCTATGAGAAGTGCAATAATGCTATTTCATAAAACTTTCATTTAATCAGATTTGATGCTGAAACAGTTAGAAGTATCTGTCCATCTCTAAATAAACAACTAACCTATTTAACAAATCTTAAACGGACCATTACCACAGAATAAATAGTACAAGTACCATTACATTAACACCGTGGTACCGCACTAACTTTGTTTCGGTCAGTTTCAAGATTCTGCATGCTCATTAATCTTTGACAGTTTATTATATTTCAATGGGTTTTCTAGATCACCTGATTTTTTTATGAATTTATTTATGGCGCTACTATTTATAACCCCTTTTAGTTATATAGGATAATACTTAAATTGTCCTGGACTCTTACCTTTCCATTGGAGCATTACTTGGACAACCCCAATAGTAACCTGGGCACTCTCTTTGAAAAGGCTGTGGCCTTGGTTGTCCACAACGTGGCCTTTTGTAGTAAATGCTGTACTCTCCTCGAACACAGCCGTATCTGGGTGGTGCACGGCAGCATTCGAACCCACGGGGCAACACTGACATTCTTGTAAATCGTAACCCTGCTCGTTTTGCTTTGCAATTAGCAAAGTTTTCTTGGATTATCTGCAGATAGCAATAAGGTTCTTAATTTATTCGGATTAGATATTATGAAACTAGGAGTGATCAAAACAAGGTCTCCGAGTCTTTTGGAACTTTAAAGTAACTTTAAACTGTTTACTGGCCAACCTCGGAACATTGAGACGTATTTTGCAAAAAACCTTATCTAATATCTACATTCGTGACTCAAACGTAATATATTTAAATTACTCCTTTATATCCGAGTAAGAAAAGTAACCAAAAATACCCAATTTTTAATGCGTTGATGTAAAAATGCGGTCAGTAGTTTCAGCCTACTTTGATATCTAGATTGAGTAGGTAGACGATGACTAAGATCTGAATGTTTCACCAGATTCGCTGCAGCGGTACCTACTTAGAATACATCAGTATCAAACATTATGTATCTATGTACATAATATGTGTGTATGTCAGATAAAACGATGGCGCCATTCATGTGATGTATCAGGATAGGGAAACTCGTGACTCATTCGAAACTTTGTCCAGATATGAATTTTAGTTCCCATAAATTCATCTTTAATTATGAAGTAAATAAAGAAATGTATACTCACTGATGCTTTTTATGGGTTATTGTTATGAGTTTTTCCAATTTTTAGTACTTTTACAAATTTTTGTAATTTTTTGTAATTTAGACGTTTTTCATAGAAACGGTGACAATAATGTCAAATATATATTTTTTATTTTGTTTGAATGCAGAAAGTTGTTCATTTTTGGTTTTATGCTCTATGATGTATTGTGCCAGTTGTATATTGATGAGGTACCTATAGAGTTCTGTTGGTATCGAAATAATCTTTATTCTTCCTTGGTGAAAGGACTTTGCTCTCATTTAAGTAGGTACCTAAGGCGCCGTAAAGTATGTACAAACATATTTCGACATGATCGTATATTATTGTGCAATAGCAAAAAATCACTACCGCAGCTCTATTTCAGTTTAGGATTCGAGAGTCAAGTCAGGATATTGGTAACTTTTTTTTTCCTCTTTGGCAAACGAGTGGTGGTGGCTGCAGAATTTGTAAGACTTAAACTTTCCACAAATGGGGCCCAACAGGGCCGATGCCGATTCGGAGTCGCGGAGAACCTAACGGGTTACCGGGGCTCCGGCTCGACGTGCAGGAGAAGGAACGGGGTGGTTTTTAGTCAGTAAGAGTCTGACACTCCCTCCCGACTCACCCAGGCGGGAGCGGTCATTCGATGATTTTCGCCATATATTATCGATAAAATGTGTCAAACTCTATTATCCGTCTAATTTATTTCACAACCAATAAAACAAGAAATAAAACAACAGTAAGTTACAAACATGTTGTATTCTTACACGACAAGGTTCACACACGGTTTTTTAGCTCCATTACCAAACGGGCATGCATGGTCCACAGCATCCACAGCCGCAGACGGGCACTCCTGGGTAGCTGCATCTTTTGGGACAACATATTCCAGGCTCTGTGCAGCAGTAGCAAGGGCATGGCTTACACCTGTTCGGTCGACAGCAAGGAATCGCCACTGTCTCACAAAGAGGCACCGGCTTCGGCACTGGAGTCATTGGCTAGAAATAAAATGTCATTTTTAAAGTCTAGTCTAGAAATAATATTGAAAAGTTTTAAAGTAAACATTTTGACAAAATGCCAAGAAACATATTTGAGAAGCAAAATGGAAATGAATTTTGGCTAAAATCTGATTTCAAGGTTATTGGTGTGGCAGATGAGCAAGGAGTGTGACTGAAAATAGATTAATTAATTTCGGAAATGTAATGAAGTAATGAGGCAATGAACCGAAACAGATGGTGTAAAAATGAGGGGACTTGAAACCCGTAGTGGGATGGCAACATACAAATAAAATTAAAGTACCTACCTTATCGCACGGAGGGCATGGTGGAAGACAAGGTAGGACTGGACATGGTGGACATGGAGTGGGGCATGGCCGAACAGGAGCAGGACATGGAGAACATCCACCACCAGGACACACAGAACACGGCCTCAGATCATTACACGATGCTACACATGGCTTTGTACTGTAGGGGTAACAAGCGCCGCAAGGCTGCCCTGTGCACACACATGGATCATAGCTGTAGAATGGAGCACTCATTTCGATTTTACACTTTTTATATCAATTTTAATATTAATAGGAAATTATAACTTAAAATTTCATTCGTCTGTCATGTCAAAACGTGATAAAAATGTTTTGTTTTTAGATGTTTTTTTCTTTGTGGTGCATGTCTTTATGGTCTTACACTAGAAGAAAGTTTGGAAGGAAGAGGTTCAAAAGTTTAGGATTATATATTTTTAACTTTTAAAGTTAATAGATAAACCAAAACATTATACCAAAATCAAATACATAATTATAGTGCCAAAACTTATCAGTCCCTTATATCACAAAAATTAAAGACCTGTCTAGTTATCTTAGTCTGGCTGGTATATTAACTTGTGTCTTTTAGTTGGGTCAATAACTCTTTGACATTAAAAAAAATATTTTGACATTTAAAATTATAGTTTGAAGAAAAGTGCTAAAAATAAACTAAAATTAAAAAATTACAAAAAACGTAAATTTTAAGTAATTAATTTAACAAAATCTTAAAAAAATGTGTGCGTGTAGCTTTTGCCCAACTTGCCCGGCAATTTTGCCATGTGGTACGGGACCATGCAGGTACTCATGTCCTCCACCGTGTCCTTGCTGTCAGCCATGCTGTCCACCACCAGTGCCATGTACCCCGTGTCCGCCATGCAAGTGCTGTCCAGTTTTCCGACAGTGTCCAGCGCCTGTAATCCCCGACTGTGTGCCGCCTATTGTGCCAATATTACCGCCCTGTAGACCTAGGAGGTGTCCACCACCTGAACCGTGCCCACCTCCTCCGCCTCCACCAGTCTGTTGTCCACCTGTTTTGCCTTGCGCTCCTCCACCGCCACCGTGTGACCCACCTCCGGTAAGTTTATTTGAACTACAGATTGCTAAAACTTATTTTAATTTTATAGTGAATAGATCTAACATTTTTCTGTTTACTCGCAGGTTTGCCCGTGTCCCGAACCAACACCATGCTATCAACCAGTGTTACCATGCTGTAACCCACAATGTCCTCCACCTATTATACCCAAACAGCGTCCCATTTGTCCTCGAGCTCCGCCTTGTCCTTACCCATGTCTTCCAGTGTGCCGAAGCTGTTGTCCGCATTGTGAACTTGACCCGGTGACACGTCGCCGACCATTAATAGTTCATGACAGTGTGTTCCACACTAGGAAGACTGGATTGCCTGCCGAGTGCTTTACCAGGACTTCTCCAAATATACGATATAAAGTAGAAAACTATGTAAGACAGGTATGACTTTATTCTTACGTTATTGTTGTTTTTTTCACGTATGAGCTAGTCTTTATAACTTATGCTGTTTGTTCCTTTGCAGGGTCCTTACTCATGTTGTTGGCATCCAGTGCCAGTTCCCCTGTGCTAAGAAATGTTTGCTCGTGTTTATATTTAATGTGCACTGTGCTATGTAGCCTGTATGATGTTGAATCGAAATCAAAATATCAAAGTGATGTTGGTGATAGTTTCGAAATAAAAATTATTATTTTACGACTTTAGTTTCGCATTATTTTGTAATTATCAGAATACTAGAATTTTAAATATAATAAAATTTAAAATATAATAAAATTTAATTTATGTGGTCTTTTTAGAAATCTTGAAGATAGAATCTGAATTTGTTCCATGAATTTTGAAATCTATGCCACTACAATAACCTATTCCTGAGACTCAGTCAGTTATTTGTACCTTAGAAGGTCCAAAATAATGTTAACATTTTCAAAGAAGCGACTTACGTGGTACAGAAGAAATAAAACTCCGTAGGAGTAGCCTAATAGAATTTATTTTGTTCACATCACTATTACCACTATTATAAAACTTCAGGTTTCTTCACTTACAGTTACATAATTTGTGTGTTGCAGCTGTATATGTTTATACAGGGATTTACTGCGTAACATCTTGGAGTTGGACATTTTGTTTCGCACACCATGGGCATGCATGGCCCGCACATGTTCGGCGCAGGAGTGGGGCAGCAAGCTGGAGGTGCGCAGCAAAATCCGTTACGCATTTTTTGATTTTTTAGTTAATTTCACTTGAAAATTTAGCTCAAGATGAGTTCGGCAAACCAAATGAAAGCCGCGAATGGTGTGCGCTTATATTTATAACCACTGTAAAGCCAACTGGATTGAGGGGTGATTTATAGATTTTTCAGAAAAATCTAGTTGGTCAGATAACTGATACAATGTCGTACCACAAAATAGTACACAGTGGATAATCAAGGAATTACACTGGCGTGCAGATACTTTTGTAGATTTTTAATGGAAAGAACTAATAAAATTGGCACTACGGGTGCAGTGGATGCCTTGATGCTGTATTCGTTTATGAATAGTAGGACTTTTTAAATTATGTTACAGATTGCACATTAAATGAATCATCAGTCGAAGCTATCTATTGGATTTGGATCTATTTATTTGTCTTTAATGGATCCCAGTACAACTCTCGTACGATGCATTGATAGATAAGAAGAAAATGAATGTTTGGTTGTAGGTACCTACCTACATAATATTTTGTTCTTTTAGATAGATTACTATACAATTATTATTATGCACGTGTTATGTGATGTAATTGGGTTTGTTTAAGTTTAGGGAAACAAATACACAAAATATGATTCACGACCTCGATGGAGTAGTGGCTAGTGTAACTGCCAAGCAAAGGAAAGGTTAAGTTTTTTTTTAAGGGGGGAAAATCATCGAATGACTGCTCCCGCCTGGATGAGGCGGGAGGGAGTGTCAGACTCTTACTGACTAAAAACCACCCCGTTCCTTCTCCTGCACGTTGAGCCGGAGCCCCGGTTACCCGTTAGGTTCTCCGCGACTCCGAATCGGCATCGGCCCTGTTGGGCCCCATCTGTGGTGGTCTGATGTCTCTTTGAGGCGCGCGCGGAATGCGACGCGCCGTACGCTCGGGTCTGTTTCTGGTCGGACGGGGAGCCACCCATGCTCGCCGTCCGCAGGCCCGCGCTTACGGTGGCCGGAGATCGTCACGCGATCCCCGACGCCCGGTGTGTCCTTCGCGAGGAAAGGTTAAGTTAGGTCCAGCAAAGAATGACTAAAGATTACTTTACGGATAATAGGGCCAATTTCACCAGATTAAAATGATGTTAATCATAATTATAAAATTGAGGTAGGTACTACACCACAGCATTAGGGTTCGTAAACAAAATTACGATGCGATGCGAATTCGCAATCTAAAAAATTACGATGTGAATTGCTGCGATGCGATTTCGTGCGACAAGGCGCCTCTCAAGGTGATCATTCCTTCGACGACCGTCAATCGTACTAAACGTAGGTATTTTAAATTAAAAACTACATGGATCGTAAAGAGAAGTGTGCACTTTTGTTAAAAGATTTTGGGAAAATATTTTGATGCGCGATGCAAATCAATTCGGAAGTCCTTGCGATGCGTGCGTTACCCCAACAAGAAAGTATCTCCTAGAGATATATGAGTAGAACGTATAGTTGGTGCCTTATCTGCTGTAAATGTGCCCCCACTTAAAAAATGTGTGCCCCCTGTCGTTTTGAAAAAAAAACGGAAAAACGATTCTTGCTGGGGTAACGTTTTTCTAGCAGGAAAATTCTAAACGAGTGATCGGAGAGAAAAAAAATGTGCATGGCCAGAGAGCTTATATGTGTGCCACTATGTGCCCCCAAAAATAAAATCTGTGCCCCTTCAGATTTTCGGGATATTGCGTTTCCTGCTGGAGTAACGTTTTGATGAATCGTATATCTCTAAAACCATTGCATGTGCCCCTGTAGAATAAACATTCACGAGTAGCTCTTAATGTGTGCCTCTGTGTGCTCCAATTAGATTTAAGGAAATATTTATAGTTTTCAAGTTATCGCGGTTTTATGAAAATCCGAAAAAACATCGCAGCGCCTAAATGAGAAGGTATAAGTTCGCTGAAAACTGTATTCGGTCCTTCTTGATGCTAATAAAAACCATACAAAGTTTCAAAACGCTTCATGCATGCGTTTTTGAATAATCTTGCTACAAGTCAAGACGATGGTGTCATAACTTTGACGGCAAAATACAAGGAACTGGCTAAATCCCAGATGTGTGTAGGTGTAAACCAAAATCATGTGCCTTTAATCAAAAATATGTGGTGAAAATATTGAGCTTGGAATGTTTCGCATTAAGTAAATATGAACAAAAAACCGAATTAAGTAAACAACGGCTGGTTATCCGACCAAATTTGAATGACTACTAAAAAGCGACGGATTCATACATATCGATGACCTTCTTTATTTTACTTACTAACCGGTTCACACGTGTTGTGCCTGAGTACACTGAAGTAGAAAAGTAATAAATAATAAAATAAAGTTGTTATTGGATTATGTTCTACTAGTGAATAATAGGTACAAAGTGTTTATTGACTAGGAGGTGCGTTTAGATTATTTCTTTTTATTGGTAAACAGTTGCAGTTATGTAATGACGCCAAGGCCACTGTTATGTCGAGTCACGCAGTTGCACTGATACTGTTTGTTTACTTTTTGTTTTTTTACTTACTGCGGTGGTAAGTATTTAATATCTTTATTTTGACTTTTTTACAAATACTTGTACCTTATGAAATAGTTAGCTTATTTGTTTCTGCTATAAGACAAAGAGTTTGCTCTAATAGTACCTATGTGCATAAGTCATGCAGATGAAAACAAATTGTACAATTTCAAGTATTTGCCGTTGAACTTAGATATAATAAATATTAAAGGTATCAACCACCTACAAGAACCTTGCGAATCATGTTTAAGAACAGAATTTACTCCAGAGTGTCATATTTGTTGCGCCGGAAATATATCCTTCAGATACAATGTTAAAGATATTATCATTTATGAACTTCATGACGTTTGCGTCAAGTTGGATGATCTGCCTCGTAACATTGAAGTAAATAATAAGGAGTACACAATTCTGTCTGCAATAGAATATGAACCCGCTTCGAAACTCAATAGTGTTGGACATTACAGGGCTCACTGCTACAGAAAAAATAGTAATTTATTTGAATGTTATGATGACTTATATGGTAAAATCCAACGAAGTGGGAAATATAATATTATGCCACATGTAATAGTCTACACAGTAGAATAGACAAAATTGTACAGGGTTAAAATGAATGCTCCAGAGTAGCCCGCGAAATACAAATTTTCTTATGTCTTTTGGAATTTAGTTTAGTTTAAGTTAAGTTTTTTTTCTTAAATTAAGGGAAGAAAAATAATAATTTCCACATCAACAAGCTGTTTCATTAATATAGTCACAAGCTGCATTTAATATATTTTTTAATTAGCCCCCAAAACTTTTGAACGCAACTGCACGGACAACAGCTTAGGTATAATACGTCCAATAAAGAAGGTCATCGATATGTATGAATCCGTCGCTTTTTAGTAGTCATTCAAATTCGGTCGGATAACCAGCCGTTGTTTACTTAATTCGGTTTTTTGTTCATATTTACTTAATGCGAAACATTCCAAGCTCAATATTTTCACCACATATTTTTGATTAAAGGCACATGATTTTGGTTTACACCTACACATCTGGGATTTAGCCAGTTCCTTGTATTTTGCCGTCAAAGTTATGACACCATCGTCTTGACTTGTAGCAAGATTATTCAAAAACGCATGCATGAAGCGTTTTGAAACTTTGTATGGGTATTATTAGCATCAAGAAGGACCGAATACAGTTTTCAGCGAACTTATACCTTGTCTCATTTAGGCGCTGCGATGTTTTTTCGGATTTTCATAAAACCGCGATAACTTGAAAACTATAAATATTTCCTTAAATCTAATTGGAGCACACAGAGGCACACATTAAGAGCTACTCGTGAATGTTTATTCTATAGGGGCACATGCAATGGTTTTAGAGATATACGATTCATCAAAACGTTACTCCAGCAGGAAACGCAATATCCCGAAAATCTGAAGGGGCACAGATTTTATTTTTGGGGGCACATAGTGGCACACATATAAGCTCTCTGGCCATGCACATTTTTTTTCTCTCCGATCACTCGTTTAGAATTTTCCTGCTAGAAAAACGTTACCCCAGCAAGAATCGTTTTTCCGTTTTTTTTTCAAAACGACAGGGGGCACACATTTTTTAAGTGGGGGCACATTTACAGCAGATAAGGCACCAACTATACGTTCTACTCATATATCTCTAGGAGATACTTTCTTGTTGGGGTAACGCACGCCCTTGCGATGCGTAAAGGGAGCTTGCACGTTTTTGCGATGCCACGTCGCATCGCAGTTTTGTGTACGAGCCCTAAAAGAGATAGGGTCCTATCTGATTTGGATCACTAGTAAAAAAGGTGTCAATGGGGTTCAACTTCCCGACCAATCGCACTACATCGTGGTGAAAACATAACCCAGTGCACCATGGCAAACAATGTCAAAATCAAGACAAAAATACGTACCAAATTAAAACCACACATAAATATAACAATTTTTATTCACACTTTTACGTAATATACAACCACTTTATGGTACGTGACGGTACAGAACTTTCACCGGACGAAAAGACTTGCAAGTCAATGAAAAACTCAGCCAGCATTTAACGAATTTCAATGACTGCTTTGTCGAATGCTGCAATAGGTCTTGGCGGCTGGCCCAGCGCTAGTACAGCATCTGTAAATATATAAAATTCGTTACTTTTTTCACCAAGATTTGTACCTTGGGTTACCCTATTTCTAGACAAATGTGGAGGTTTTCTTTTCAATCAGTTTACTTTTCAGTATTAATTTTATAACGAAAATTTTGGATGTTAGGGTTGCCAATACGTAATGCTATTGATATGAAAGTTATGTGACTTGGTAAGTGATCGCGAGTGCGGTGGTGCGGCACTGGTCACTGGATATGTGCTACTTGACTGTATACTGTGACGAGGGATCCACCGCCGCAGCAGGGCCTGCACGGATGACAACACGGCGCTGGTCGACAGCCGCCACAGCCCCTGAAAAATATAACAGGATTTGACTTGTACCTAAATAAAATTAGCACCTACATTACAATACTTCATATCTTTTTTTCTGAGGGTCAAAATCCAAGGCTCATATCAGTTCCGTACTTCCAAAAGTCTCTCTAGGTCTCGCGATCTAAGAAGTATAAAAAAGCCTATCCCTGTTTCGATGCACATTGTAAAAGTAAAATTTGTCTGATAGAATCAAAAACTCACTGAATTGCAGACATTACTGATTGCAATCTGTTTATAACACCCATCCGATCACACATTTTTGTAAATTTGTAATTTATAATTTTCACGCTGTAAAATTTTGATTAGCCGAAAAGAATTTGATAAAATGACTGGTTGTCAACGCGACACTACGTCGTGTTTAAAAAAAGTGACAGTTCCTATTTCAAAAATATAATTTTTATGTGCCTTATATTTTAACAAGAAGTATGTGTACCTGTGTGGCTGTCACATTAAAAAGTTTAAAATTGTATTTTTAATTTACTGATTTGTTGAGGTTAAGATTGAGAATAATATCAATTAAGATTTTTATTATTTACAAACTTACTTAACAGGTGTTGTAGGAAGGAGCACATGAAGGATAGTGTGATTTCACCTGAAAAATAAAAACACAATATAATAAGACTATTATTCTTTCCCGAAGTGATGGTTGATTTACCACGTCTGTGTAACCCTGAAGGGTGTTGAAAGAAGTTATAGACCGTTAAACAAAGCAGACACTAATTGATTACAATATTTTCTGAACTGCCTAAGTGTGCTACGTAGTAGCTATTTATATTACCTATCTAAAAACATCCGGCTAGATGTGTCTAGCGCTTTGTTTATTTAGCGCGCGTGGCAGTAGACTAATAACGCCTGAACTAAAACCACATGCAAAGTAAAAAATCTGTGCATACCGGCCGTTCGTAATTGATGAGTTGGTACCGAACTTTCTTATCCTGGTTGTTGAGTACCATCCCGGGCCAGCTGGTAGGTCTGTAGTCGAACGTGCTGTCATGCACGATCAGGGGTCGGCGGACCGTCCAATTGTCCATCCCACAAGGAAGACATGACGGACCCTAAGACCAATACATGAGAGAAAATAAAAAATACGAATTAACTAACTTGAGGAGGCCTATGTGCAGTAGTGGACGTCCTATGGTTGATATGATGATGATGATGATGAATAATTTGGAAGGCTAGCATGGCCGAATAATCGGTTCTTCGGAAAGAAAAATATAACTCACTACAAATAATAATTGAGAAAAATTAAATTAGAAAGATTTACGTTTGTGCTGTTTCGCTGTTTGAGTAAGGTTACCGGAGGCACAACCCTCCTATCTGAAATCCCCAAAAGATCGGCGATGTAGGTATCTACTTGTAATTATTGACCTCTTGTTGCCTCCTTACGTCTAGGGTGATAGCTCTTACACACGGGCGCACGTTACCAACAACAGAGGCAACTGCTGCGGTCGATACGTGTCGGCGGCAACCGCTGACGTGTCGACGCAGCAGTCGACCGATAGCGACACTTGCAGTTACCTATAGCCTTCTTTGAAGTTGAAATGTTGACAGCTTCCGTCGACGCGTCAACCGATGCCGCAATCACATCGACGGTTACCGGCAGCAACTTGCCACCGACACGCGTTGACGACTCTTACCTCTGCCGTTGGCAAAATGCCCCTCGTGTGCAAGAGCTTTTATGGTTTAGAGATTCGTATGTTCGTTTGCCCCTTAAAAAGGTACAAACTAAACTATACATAACTAAACTTACCCTGATAGGGATGCAAGGAATGTATGTTGGGGGTTCCTTGTAACTTGGCAAGCATTGTATTGGGCTGCACATTGTTTTACTTGTATTTGATTTAACTACTTTTATTAAAAAAAATAATCAAAAGTATTTTTCCGTGTTTTCGCTATTTTCTCGAACTCATTGATTTTATTTTTATTTTGTGACATTTGTTGTCAACTTATTTAGCTTTTTATCGGAATTTAAAAGTTGCCAGGTGCATGTAGAATATCGAGTATAGATACCCCTTGCATAAAGTCAGGAACATACTGGCCTATTAACGGAGTAGGAGCTTGTAAACTTATAGCAGTAGTACCTTATGAAAAATATGGAGAAGAAACAATTACTCAATACGGTGATATTCAATATGTACTGCTTCAAAAAACCTTGGACCTACCAAGGTTTTTTGAAGCACAAATCATGGTCCGGTACACTATTTATAATCTGAATAGCACGCGAAATAGGAGCATATTTAGGAAGAGTAGTCCTAGCCCTTGGCAGGTGCCACCCCGCCCTGTTGGAGATCTAACAGGGAAGGGTGGCGACGAGCCCCCACGTATCCGTCTGGCACATGCAATCCCAACATCTCCAGCACTTCCAGGTGATGGACCAATGCTCGTAGTCGGTAGTACCCTTTCTATATATTTAACTAGCGCCACATCTCTCCGCACCTCTAGTGTAGTGTACGCAATTGTTCCCAGGACGAATAAACTTGGGTACATCATTTGGAAAAATGGATAAATCCCATACAATTTAAAATACAAAAATCTTGTCAACTTGTTCTGTATTTTTTCCAACATCTTAATGTATTTGTCCTCATGTGGATTCCTAATAATAGCACAAGTTTCAAGATGGATGATTCTAACCAACCAACCAATGCATTATAAAGAATTTTTGGTACCGTTATACTTTTAATATCATGACCGTCTCAATTTAAATCCTAAATGTCTAAAAGATAAAAGATTTGCTACATAGATCCGTGACGTGTCTTGTTTATGCCTTAAAAATATTCGATGAAAGAAGATTTTCCCAAGTATGTCATGCTAAATAAAATTCGGACCATCAAGATTCTGCCTGATTTCTTTTTTTTTTTTTTTTTTTTTATTTACAGGGTTTTTTCTTAATAGAAAACATCACCCCGATTATTGAATACAAAAAAAAAAACAAAAAGAACACTTATACTTAGACTTACATTTAAGTTAACCTACCCTTCTTTCTTCTTCTTCAAATTCAGTATTTTAAATAGAATTTGAAACTATGCAGCTGACCTTGGTAGCATGATATAATTTACATAAAATATTATACTAACTTCTACAAGCGGCTTCGTCCGCATTCAACAATAAACCTCTTGTGAGTTGTGATGATGATAATAATGATAAGGTCTGATCGCCGTCACATATACGTGACAAGCGAAAACTGTCCCTCGACGCCAACGACACAAATACATGACTGAAAAAGCGGAACCGGAAACACGAAATCAACAATTTGATTCCCTATTGGAAACCCTATTTATTTCTTAGAAATTTGCGCGGAATTTGTGACTTGGCGTTGAGGGCAGGTTCATATGTTTTGCTCTGGCGTTCAAAACGTTAATTGGATTCGATTCAAAGCTGTAACCAATTTTCATTTTGTTCAGTGACTTTCATGTCCCACGATGTACGGTCTCCGACCTGTGCAGACCTAGCATTACCTACGAATGATATATTTCAGTATTAAAACCTCTTTACCTTTCTAATTAAAGACTGGCCGCCTTCAAGTTTCAAATCAATGTCAAATATTGTGGAATAGAAGTCAATAACGTTAGCAGATGTCAAATCAATTCAGTTTTTATAAATCTATCGTGTAGTTAACAGTAAACTTAAAAATTAAGAAAAAAAGTAGAAAATACGCGTAAAGTTCTAAAAACAGTATCTTCTAAGAAAAATATTTTACAAATATTTAAAACAAGCAATCTTTTGGACTACATATCATTATCAATTGATAAAACATCATCACCGACGGTGAAACTTGCCCATTTCCTTTTGCAATAGATATTTTGAACTACTGACGAAAATGTAAGTATGGTACGATTTGTAGGTAGGTACAGGATACAAAGCTCTACAAGAAAGTAGGCCCGCAACGGCAATATGTCACGACTGTCATCACCAAGAATATTATTTAAGTCCACAGGACAGTCGACTGCTCGTGAGGGTTGTACTATTTATTTCCTCAGGACAGTCGACTGCTCGTGAGGGTTGTACTATTTAATTCCACAGGACAGTCGACTGCTCGTGAGGGTTGTACTATTTAATTCCACAGGACAGTCGACTGCTCGTGAGGGTTGTACTATTTAATTCCACAGGACAGTCGACTGCTCGTGAGGGTTAAGTTGTATAGTAATAAAAACACATTACCATTTGAATTCAGGTGTGGTGGTTGCGGTGGATGCGGTGGCTGCGGCCCTTGCGGCGGGTGCTGTGGCGGCTGTGGGCCGTGCGGCGGCTGCTGCGGCGGCTGCTGCGGAGGATGCTGCGGCGGCTGCTGCGGTGGATGCTGCGGTGGCTGTGGCTGTCCAAGGATCACCATCCATACCCGTTGTACGAAGATCTGTTAATTGTCAGGGCCTGCTAGCAAACGAGCACGACGTCAAGACTACGATACGACGTCAAGTCGTAGTGTTGGCCACGTATCGTACTGCGTCCTATTCGTGCTGTCTACACATTTGTGCTGTCAACTCAGTGATGTTCAAATATAATTTGGTTAATTTAAATTTGTCTTTTACTTTATTTTAGGGCCGTAGGCTGATAGCTTAAAGCCGCATTTTCATTAGGGGACATTTGTTTCACGACTATCCCTCGTTTCGAATTTTACAAGGGGACATTTGTTCCGCGACTCTGTCGCTCGACACGAACGTGTTCCTCGACAGTCGCCGGACAGGCTTTGAGTAGTGAGAACGTGTCGCTTCTGGAAATGGAAGTAGTGTGGTCCAACGAGTATATACCTATGGGTGATGTTTTCTATTAAGAAAAAACCCTGTAAATAAATAAAAAATTAAAAAAAAAAACGAGTATATACCTCCTCCTCGGGCGACACTGATGACAACTTGGACTTGTGTTGAGCAACATTGTCCTAATATTATTATTATGGGTACTAGGTTGCGGGTAGGTTAGGTAACTTAAATGTAAGTCTAAGTATAAGTGTTCTTTTTGTTTTTTTTTGTATTCAATAATCGGGGTGATGTTTTCTATTAAGAAAAAACCCTGTAAATAAAAAAAAAATTAAAATTAAAAAAAAAACATTGTCCTAAGAGGTTGCATTGGCCTAACATTCCACGTGAATGTTGGGCCATTTGTAGCAGCGGGAAACGCGTAGCATAAGCCGGGTATTCATCAGGCAACATTTGTTAATAAACTGTTTATGACGGGTTTATTAACAAGTTTACCGTAAACACTGTTTCTGAAACTTGGCAGTCCACACTTCTCAGTTGTTGCCAGGATGTCGCCCGAAGAGGTAGTGATGCTCTGTGCTGCTTATATAATATTACATAAGAGTGCTACTAGAAAAAAAAGAAGAATAGGTGGTGGATTCGAAATTATCTTTTAAATTAGAAGTTATGTATTTCATGACCTTCGTGGATTTGATGGGTCTTTTCAAAATTTCACGAGAATGTCTGTCAGATTTTGAAATTTTACTGAGATTGATTGAACCAGCCATAACAAAACAGGAAACGAAATTTCGGCATCCTATTGAGCCCCAGAGAAGACTAGCTATAACTTTAAGGTTTCTTGCAACAGGTGACTCATATGGCTCACTGTCATATACCGTAAAATGGGGTGGATAGGGATCGAGAGGTGAATAGAGACAGAAGAGGGGTGAATAGATATTGGGAAATTCTTCATAGTATCGATTCACCCCTCTGTCCCTATTCACTTCTCGATCCCCATTCACCCCATTTTACCTTACTTTTAAAGTATCAAAACAATTAATCAGCAAGATTATACGAGAAGTTTGTCAGGAATTTTATAGAGACATAAGGCGCAAGCTAATAGCATTTTCCTCTCGAAATTCATCTATTTATTTTAGCCGCAGAAGAGGCAATTTAAGCCTCTTCTCTCCGTAAGCCTCTTCTCTCCGTGAGGTAACAGAAAAGTGTTTCCCCCCGGGCACCTACCTGGTATTTTTCCTTCTGGGGCCAGAGGTGTCTAGCTGATCTGATAAGCCCTTCCTCCCGGGGCCAGAGGTACCTAGCTGACAAGCCCTTCCTCCCGGGGCCAGAGGTACCTAGCTGACAAGCCCTTCCTCCCGGGGCCAGAGGCACCTAGCTGACAAGCCCTTCCTCCCGGGGCCAGAGGCACCTAGCTGACAAGCCCTTCCTCCCGGGGCCAGAGGCACCTAGCTGACAAGCCCTTCCTCCCGGGGCCAGAGGCACCTAGCTGACAAGCCCTTCCTCCCGGGGCCAGAGGCACCTAGCTGACAAGCCCTTCCTCCCGGGGCCAGAGGCACCTAGCTGACAAGCCCTTCCTCCCGGGGCCAGAGGCACCTAGCTGACAAGCCCTTCCTCCCGGGGCCAGAGGCACCTAGCTGACAAGCCCTTCCTCCCGGGGCCAGAGGCACCTAGCTGACAAGCCCTTCCTCCCGGGACCAGAGGCACCTAGCTGACAAGCCCTTCCTCCCGGGGCCAGAGGCACCTAGCTGACAAGCCCTTCCTCGCGGGGCCAGAGGCACCTAGCTGACAAGCCCTTCCTCGCGGGGCCAGAGGCACCTAGCTGACAAGCCCTTCCTCGCGGGGCCAGAGGCACCTAGCTGACAAGCCCTTCCTCGCGGGGCCAGAGGCACCTAGCTGACAAGCCCTTCCTCGCGGGGCCAGAGGCACCTAGCTGACAAGCCCTTCCTCGGGGCCAGAGGCACCTAGCTGACAAGCCCTTCCTCGCGGGGCCAGAGGCACCTAGCTGACAAGCCCTTCCTCGCGGGGCCAGAGGCACCTAGCTGACAAGCCCTTCCTCCCGGGGCCAGAGGCACCTAGCTGACAAGCCCTTCCTCCCGGGGCCAGAGGCACCTAGCTGACAAGCCCTTCCTCCCGGGGCCAGAGGCACCTAGCTGACAAGCCCTTCCTCCCGGGGCCAGAGGCACCTAGCTGACAAGCCCTTCCTCCCGGGACCAGAGGCACCTAGCTGACAAGCCCTTCCTCGCGGGGCCAGAGGCACCTAGCTGACAAGCCCTTCCTCGCGGGGCCAGAGGCACCTAGCTGACAAGCCCTTCCTCCCGGGACCAGAGGCACCTAGCTGACAAGCCCTTCCTCCCGGGGCCAGAGGCACCTAGCTGACAAGCCCTTCCTCGCGGGGCCAGAGGCACCTAGCTGACAAGCCCTTCCTCGCGGGGCCAGAGGCACCTAGCTGACAAGCCCTTCCTCGCGGGGCCAGAGGCACCTAGCTGACAAGCCCTTCCTCGCGGGGCCAGAGGCACCTAGCTGAATAAAACTAAATTTAAATAAAACTAATTGATACGCTTATTTATAGTAGTTTATTTCCACAAAACGGCACGGATCGACTTCGAAGACAAACATGAAGGCGTTCAAGCGCCGATTTCGACGCAGACACCATGGCTTGTCCGCGCAAAATCTCGTGTGCGACTAGCAAATCTTCGTGCAGCAAGTGTAGATAGTGATGCATGGGCAACAGCAACCACCGCAGCAACCGCCGCAGCAACCACCACAAGGTCCGCAACACCTACGGAATAATATTGAAATTACAAACAAGCCTCACCCGAGAGTTTTATTTTAACCATACGAAATGTACTTACATTTTCTATTGAGGGTAAAGAGTACTTTAAAGGGCCTAAAACAGGTCAAAATGGACCGGCAACGTTGTGGAAAGGAACTAGTTTTTAAAAGTTTTTGGAATAATAAAGTTTTTTTGGGACTTTTTATTATTGTGTGAATCACGCAAACGATTTAATTGTACTACCAATGTCAACCAGCTTACTTCTACAGAACACCTCGGAATGTGTTTGAATGTAGAATATAGTTTGAAGAATTAAGAATATATGATTTGTGTTTCTTCTCAATATGATGGCCAGTATTGGTGATTCTGTACAAAGGTTTTTATTGGTCAAAAAGTTCGTATATGTAGTTTTGTAATTTTGTAATCAAGGTGGTCGTGAGTGGATTTTACAATTCTCTTCATTTAACTAAATCAACAAGTATGGATTAACATTTAACATTTTTCATAATTATTTTACAACAGTTTATCGGCTGCGTAAAAATATACAAGTATAAAATTAACACAAAAAAAATTGCAAAATGAAGCACAATTTTTGTGGCACCGACAAATTAGTTAAACCGCATGTTAAGTGCGTGGAGTATGATGGTGAGATTTCCTGCTTTGAATTAGGTGAAATACCACCAGCTCCAGACGATCCTAGGAAGTTTAACATTATTTTTCCATGTTGCTTAAAAGCGCGGTTAGCTAGCAAAGAGACAGGCTATAATCCATCAAAAAGCAAACAAAAAAAGTACAGTTCATCATCAAAAAAAATGCAAAACGAAAACATAAAAGTCGTAAATTCTATGCAATGTCCGTCTCTGTCGAAATTGCTGAATAACGCAAATAAGAATAATTGCGTCCTTTATGTTTTTGATAAAAATGGATTTAAACAAAATATTGCTTTTACCAAAGCGAATATTGAATGTCCAAATTCAAGAAAAGTGTCCAATACAGAAAATCAGTTCGAAAAATGCCCATTTGCAGGTAAGACAATAAATCACCCAAGTCAAAATCATGGAAAATCTCTTCGTTTATGCAAAAGTCGGGAGTTAAGGGGTGGTATACTCTCTACCGATTGTTTTTGCCTTCGAAGAAATGGATTGCAGTACGACTGTCGCAGAACTGGATGTCAGAATAGTCCGCTCTGTTCCGTTCTCCCAGCACCACTTTGTGAACCGGCTCGAGTGGCATGTCAAACGCATTGTGCCAATCCACATGCCGAAGAGTTGAGCAGTATTTGTAAGCTACGCCCGTGGTAGGAGAAAAATTGGTGAAATGGAAAGGTGTAATAACAAACTTAAGTAAGGAATCAATCCACATTTCGAATGATCTCAAGGTAACGATTCCTCAGACTGCTCAGACTGCGTGTCACTAACCTATGAGAGTGAGTTAAGAACTAAATATGTATAATAACGCTACCTTTTACCATCAAATCCAAGATTATAAACGTTTTGAGGTGCGTTTAAATGGGCAACGTGTGGTTGCAGTACCATAACCGGCGACACTGCAGATATAACCCGGCCTTTTATATTCAAATATTTTTGGTACGGCCATGTATTATCGATATAGCTGCGTAATGATTGTCAATAATAATTGTATAAATATTGCTAATTTAATTCACTTTTATGTAAACAAATTAGCAAACCGGTCTATTAAATTGATACGTTAGGAGTAATGTTTAAGTTCAGATCACCCACCATCCTCATATGCATGCAACTTAACCAGTGTTAAGTATAGAACAATGTGTATCTATCATCATACAAAGACTGAAGCCTCTGAACACATTGGTGAAAGAACCGACTCAACATGAATGACTCTTCAAATGCCTCAAGAAGCTTATAATTAAGCAAACATAGACTTTTTCAAAATATATAGACATTGGTACTGGTATAAACAGAATATTTAAAAAATTAGAAGAATTTCGAAAAACAGACAAAAGAAAAAATATATTGACAGAAGGATTTTTTACTTCGCCTAGTTTAGATGTAAATTTTATATAAAAATTTTGTAAATTTTATTAAAACAAAAAGCCTAAATTCTCGTACTAATTTAATGAACTACTAACTAATTACAAACATAAAAATATTAAAAATAATATAAAAACCCTCCTCCCCGCTGTGCTGTAGGAGAAACATAATCTTTCAAAATGTAAGTACCTACTTTCCTTAAAAGGTCGATTTTACTTCAATCCTATGTATAGGTTTGTTTAATGACTGTTTTTGTTAAAGGTGTTCTCCTTGTGGTCCCATGGTTTGCTACAAATATGAAGACTGTGGTCCTCCGGTAAGTTAGAATGTAAAGAAATTGAAATGTCAGAATAAATATTGGTGATAAGAGATCTAATAGCCATGTCGATGTTCAGCTGCAGTGTCTACCGCGATCTGCGTTCAAGCGTAATGGACTGCAAGATTGCCAGTTCTTCCAGCAGGGCTCAATACGGTACCTGTGCCGGGCAGACTGCTGCTGCCCCAGACCGTGTCCGCCATGCTGTCCGCCGTGTGTGCGACGCCCACCACCCGGCAAGACCTACGTCACACGCTTCAGTGACTTCGACCTAATATCGCAGTGGTAGTGCTAGAAGGCTTTTCCGCGTCGTCGTCCTCCTCGTCGTCCTCTTGTCTCACAAGTTTCGGTAATTTACTATTCAATCACTCACGGCGGACAGACAGTTTTAATGGTGTCAGTAAAGTTATCAATTACTATTTTTTTTACAGAAAGGCAAACCTTTGAACAATGGTCCTGGTCAGCAAATGGTGGAGGACGGCGAGCAAAAAAAAAGTGAAACGGAAAATCAGTTGAAGCGAACCAAGAGTCGTGAGTTGCGTGGTGGCATCATGTACTACAGTTGTCATTGCATCAAGCGAAATGGGCTTCAGCACGACTGTCGCCGCACTGGATGTGGCGGCGAGCCTGCCTGTCTTGTCTTGCCCGACCCATTGTGCGCGCCTAGCCAATTGGCTCGTGCTCGTGGCCTCGCCGATCCCGCTGTTCTCGCAGCCCACACTAATCCTCAAGGCAGTAGTGGCTCAGGTGGACCGACAAGCTCCGGTTCCCGTGGAAAACGTTTTATTGTCTGCGAATTGAAGGGTATCATTCCCGACGCAGGTGTGGATAGAAACGACGGGAAATGCTGTAAGTGCCCAAACATATTTGTACCTACCCAAGCCCCCATAAGTAGTGGAATGAAACCTCATACATGCATATGTACTGGTGGCGCAGCTGCAGCACCTAAAATCGTTCCACCTTCTGGTGAAATGAAATCTAATTCATGTAAATGTACCTGTGGTAAGGGTGCAGCACCGAAACATAATGAACAAATACAAGCCCCTTTTGCTGGAGTGAAACCGTATGCATGCATTTGTCCCGGAGGTGTGGTTAAACCTTTACCAATTCCGCCAAATACTCCAACCACATCTTCATGTCCTTGCAAATGTAAGTCTGGTTCTGGGTCACAAAAAATGCAATCGATATATGACGTAGATGAAAATACACTTAACCAAATATTACAAAGGTTTGAATCTAAAGAATTGAAAGTAAATGATAAAAAGGTAGCAGGATCGAGTGGTCGACAACGCGATCGCGATATCACGAAATCTACTACTAAAGAAGAGTGTACTAGACCTGGGTGTGTACACTGGCAACCACCGCCGCCCTGCGTGTGGGACCTTCCGTGCAAAGCTGACTGTTTTGAGACTCCGGCTTCAGCGCAGCCGGGCCGCAACCCACTGAGGGGCGGCGGTGGCGGTTGCTTTATTAGTAGTGTGAAAGGACCTACTGGGCGAGACTTGGTGTCACAAGGCACACAGAAACACCGCGATGTAATGAAAATCTTGACACCCGAATGTTGTACAGGTTGCTCTGCGCCAAGAGACGGAGGCGCCATGGCGAGTGGTGGCCCGGCAGTAGCTGGCTTGCCTATGTTGGTGATGAAGCTCTGCTGAACAATCATTGTTCCTATTCTCACTGATTTCCTGAAAGCTTAAGAAAAAGTGCAAAATAATCCGAAGGCATTAAATGTTTAATTGTACTGGCTCTTTTATTTCAAGGTGAAATTTTAGTTAGAAATCGTAGATGGTGTAAGGCCCTGTTCATATGGAAACCGTCAAGTGCGCGTTTCGATAACGCGCTCTTAAACGTGGCACGGCGCACGGAAAGGCTACGCACGTGAATACGCATATAATCAGGGTCATATTCGTGTACTCTAGTGGAAACGTAGACCCACGTCGACAGCGTTGAGCTATGTAACCGCCTATTCGAGCAAGGCACGCATGTCTCAATGACGTCAATTCATACGACGCCTCCGTGCACCGCAGTGGGCCTGCGCCTTTAAGTTTAACTAAAACATGAACTATCGTATGTCGCATGACACATTTCATAACGTCAATACAAAAAGCCGACGGCGCGCGGTACACTTGAGTTGTACGTATATAGTAGTCGAGGCGCCTGCGTATACACGGCGCGCCGCCCGCGAGCCGACACAGCGTGGCGGCGGCGTGGAGTCGGCGTTTCGAAAGCGAGTTGACGGCGTCCCTGGATACAACACCGTGCTGGTGCTGGAGCCGCACCTGAGCCATGCTTTTTAGATGTGCGATGACTTTGATACAGTACTATAAAGTATAGTCATAATACTTCGACAAAAGGTCACTTAGGCCCGGCGTCCACTTTCGGCATCGGCAAGCAAAGGGATCCTTCGGCGAATCACCCAATTGTGCTGTAGTGTGTGTGCCACCTCGCCCTATAAGTAAGAAGCGTAAGATAGATATTAGGACACTTAATTAAAGTTACTCCTAAGAACAACACGTCTCCCTCATTGCTCCACATTACATGGCGACCCTGCCAGTGCTGCCACGCGGGCAGCGCTGAGCACGAGTACGGAATTATGGATTCTGTCTAATAAAAACTAATCAAAATAATTGGACTAAAAGTGCATCAGTGCTTAAATTTTTTTAAATGTGGTGGTTTTCAAGGTGAAATTTTAGTTAGAAATCGTAAACGGTAAAAGGCCATGTTCACATGGAAACGTTAAGTGCGCGTTTCGATAACGCGTTCTTAAACGTGGCACGGCGCACGGAGAGGCTATACGCACGTGAATACGCATAATCAGGATTATATTCGTGTACCTACTCTAGTGGAAACGTAGACCCACGTGGACAGCGTTGAGCTATGTAACCGCCTATTCGAGCAAGGCACGCATGTCTCAATGACGTGAATTCATACGACGCCTCTCCGTGCACCGCAGTGGGCCTGCGCCTTTAAGTTGTACCTATTAAAACATGAACATCGTATGTCGCCGACGGCGCGCGGTACACTTGAGTTGTACAAAGTCAAAGTCAAAGTCAAAATCATTTATTTCAATTAGACCAGAAAGGCACTTTTGAACGTCAACAATAAAATTAGAAGTGAAGCTATTTGCTCATTCCAAGGTGTAGATTCCTATGGAGAAGAACGAGCAAGAAACTCCATAGGTTACTCTTTTTCAATCAGGTTCACAATACAATTCTCTAGTTACATAGTTTGCTGTTTGGATTGTGCGAGAACAATGTAACACTAAAATCTAGTCAAAGTAATTGAAAAAGAAAATAACCTTAAAGACAATAAATAATACAGTCTGGAGCTGACCAGTCCCAGTTGACGGCGCCCGTTCACGAACATGACACGTACACCAGCACCGCCCAAATCAACCATATTGTAGGGAACCGAGCGATCCACTGCACGCGCCACCGCCAATGAGACCATTGAGTGAGCATGACAACTCCACGCTGACACAAATGCATTCTACTAGTCTAATTTAATATTAAGTTAATTACAGGGCTCTCACATTCACAATGGTTATCTAATTTAAACAATATACAATTTAGCAAAATGGCTGTATTATTTACAATTTCATTAAAACATCAGTGTTTTTTGTTATCCTGTGGAGCCGGACTAGCCTGTATCCAAGCATTTTTATCAACTATATAATCAATGTACGTATATAGTAGTCAAGGCGCCTGCGTATACACAGCGTGGCGGCGGCGTGGAGTCGGCGCTTCAAAACCGAGTTGACGGCGTCCCTGGATACAACACCGTGCTGGAGCTGGAGCCGCACCTGAGCCATGCTTTTTAGATGTGCGATGACTTTGATACAGTACTATAAAGTATAGTCATAATACTTCGACAAAAGATCACTTAGGCCCGGCGCCCACTTTCGGCAAGCAAAGGGATCCTTCGGCGAATCACCCAATTGTGCTGTGTGTGATGTTGTAGACGACGTGCAACACATTTTGTATGAGTGTCGACGTATTGAGTCTCAGAGGTATCAGATCGTTAGTTTTAAGCTTTAATATTGGTTTTTATCACAGTGTTTTAGCGTAACCATTGTCATCTGTGGCTAGAAAATTGTATCATTTAATTATTTTGTGTTTAAGCTTAAGGGCTAGTTAAACCTATAAACAGTTTAGCCTTCTTTTTTTCTTTTTTACAACGCGATGGAAATCCTCATGGACTTCCCACGCCGTGGGGACGACGGGGGGTGTGCCGGACTCTTACCGGCTAAAACCACCGCGGTGCTGCCTGTGACCGTGACCCGGGACGCGGGAATCAAACCCGCGATACGTCGCACAGATGGAGAGAATTGAGGATAAAACTCAAAGTAACAGTACACATACTGTAGATACTTATCAGTTAACAGTTTCGGTGGTTACATAGGTAATGTAGGCGACGCACGCCTACATAGTTGGATGAGATGTAATTTGTAGAATGCTTGCTATTCTAAAATAATAAGGCGCTTAATACTCATGAAAAGCAAATATATTACATTTTTACTTGCAGGTACGGCGATAGATGTACATTAGTACATCGAGTATTGATTTATTATTTTTTAATTATTGATTTTACCTTTTTTATCCTTTACACATACCAATATTCTAAGTTGACTGACTCCTTAACAATCAGTCATTTTGCGTGTTGGCTCCTCCGTGGTCCTGCCTGTAATTTTACGACCATACGACCAACACGACAGATCAACCAACAAGCAGTTAACAGCAGTGCATTCTGCTGGCTGTTTATTTAAAGGATTTTTTATATTACTTACTTGATAGGTTGATAGCTTTACACCTCTTTTTTACATCAAAATAATTATCAAATTCTGAAAGATGTCAGCATGACATGAGTTGAGTTAAAATCAAAGAGTATCTACAATAAGTACAATAAGCACAAGGAAAAAAACTACACAAAAGTGAAATAAATACAAAAAGAAACTAAAACAAAATGTAAAGCAACTATAACAAAAAAAGATCCGGCACTTTCCCATTCAGAAAAAATGAAGTAAATACATAATTAGTACGCCTATACAAAATTTATTAGCAATGGCAGTGATATCCGAGCTTGTTCGTAGGGTCATAGTCGCAGGTGTAATACCGAAAGTCAACGTGTTACGTTACTCTAATGGGCTGAATGACGTCACAATGCGGTTCCAAAGCAGTTGTTCAAGTGATGATAGTGACAGTAATAAGGATCCTAACCCCGGAAGTCCCTCCTTGTATGATGTAAGAATAAAAATTTTACTGTCTACCAATCTGTAAGTAGTATATTTATGTATCATACCACCACAGATGGGGCCTAATAGGGCCGATGCCGATTCGGAGTCGCGGAGAATCTAACGGGTAACCGGGGCTCCGGCTCGACGTGCAGGAGAAGGAACGGGGTGGTTTTTAGTCAGTAAGAGTCTGACCCTCCCTCCCGCCTCACCCAAGCGGGAGCAGCCATTCGATGATTTTCCCCTCTTTAAAAAAATAGTAATATATTTATGTGCATACATAACCTCACGCCTTTGTCTCAAGGATCAATCAAGGCAGAGACAATGGAACGCCAATTGCTATGATTTTTACCTACCTTTTTCGCTTCATCAACATATTAATGTATGCCTATATGACTTATACAATTTTTTATTTGGTTTTTGCTGTTATGGAGAATAAATCTCCGTATCTTATTTTCGCAGACTTTCTATTTAAACCGTAAGATTGATTGGTAGATAATGCTATATGGCATTAAGTTCGCCTTATGTGCCACTATTTTTGTTGTATTGTGTACATAAAAAATTAACTTGTTAACACCCATGATACATCGTTACGTTTTATTAAAGAACTAGCTTTTACCGGCGGCTACGCTCGCGTCACAAAAGGATAAAAAGTAGCCTATGTGACATGTACCAATACATACAGCGCCATCTATACCAATACTTTTGTTTTCCCTCGGGAATATGATATTTTTCTGGGATAAAAATTACACTATTATTTAATTCGGACTTCTAACTTTACGTCTGCAAAAATTCAAAGCAATCGGTTTAGTAGTTACGGCGTGAAGGCGGAACAAACAAACAAACAAAGTCACTTTCCGATTTATAATATTAGTAAGGATTTCATGTGTTATAGAACGAGTCTTTTGTGTGATTCCATTATTCGTACTTAACCATGGAGTTTCTTCTCCATTGGGAAGCCTTTACTTTAGAACCAGTTATGGGTTCAGCAGCTACTGAGCAACAGACAGATACTTTTATCTTGTGTTTTTTGACGTTCAAAATGCCTTAGTTGTGTAAAGTGTAACTGAGTTAAATTATTTGTCTTTGACATCCGTTTTTTAATAATGTCTGTAGAGTTTAGTTAAATTGTTTAATTAATCTATGTTTAAATGTTTGCTTATATCATTTTCAGTGTCGCAAGTTAGGTCACAACCTTTCAGCCAATAATGTGTGTCCTCTTTTCAAAACTTTGGAAAACATACCGACTGGAGTCTTCAGGAACTCTACAGGAGAGGTACTTTTCATCTTATAATTAAGTAAAAACATAATATCACGCCTTTTATCAAGGTGCACATTATACCACTGTACAATGTAACACCCACTTTTCACTATTTATGTTATGAGTCCCATGTAATAGGGGGTGACCCTATTGCCATATACCGGGCACAGTTCCAGACTCCGTGCTACTACTGAGAATTTTTTAAAAACCCAGTAATAATTTGCCCTACCCGGGAATGGAACCCGAGACCCCTTACCCGGCAGTCGCAATTGCGACCACTCGGCCAACGAGGCAGTCATAATATAATTAAGTATCCTGTGCTATTTAAGAACTGTTTGTAAATGGTTAGGTAATTTCATAGAAATTTAAATTAGTGTATCGGGCATTTTATCGATATCAATACAAGAGATCTAAATTGTTTCATTTTTTTTCTATTTTTTTCGTAATCTGGCTAAGCATTCGTTCTTTAGAGTTTAACAAATTACTTTTTCTTGCGTTCTACTTAACCCTTACTTTTCTTATTTATATACCTATTAATGGTATTTCTACTGTTTACTGAGGTCACAATTTCATAGGTTTGTATGTGCTTTTGTGCTTTTGTATGCACGTAGAAACCAACCAAGATTATTCTTGACAACACGAAGTAAGAACAACTCAATCATCACTATTATCTTTTCTTACAGATTCTCGGACGCGGTGCAGGCAAATGCTGCCACTATAAGAATCCGGAATATTATTCCTACCATCATATGAGTTTCTATGACCTCAACCTTGCTCTAAGACAATACCGCAAGACTTCACCCAGTACTGATAGGAAACCTAATGTTTATCGGCCACCCTGTTGAAGAAATACCGTGATAGCAAAGCAAAGATTCACTATATCGCTTAAGTCAATATCTATTAGGTAGTATTTATAATTTTGATCTTCGGAACAAATAACTTTATTCTTGATGATGACCATTTACTTCTATTCTACTCTTACGGCATTCTACGTCACATTTCTACTAGCTCTATTCAGTATACTTGCTCTCGAAAATGAATCTAGTTCTTAATGTAAATACTTGATGTAAATGTCAATACACACGCTGTAAATCTGACTCTAAAGTTCGGAGTCAAAGTGCACTTTAACAATATATCTCTAACGCCCTTATGTCTCTAACCGTAGAATCTGTTCCCTAAAGCACCGGCTCTAAAGTGCAGATTTCAAATATTGGATTTAAATAATCTCTTCTAATACCTATTTCTCCTCTCCTCTTTTGCTATTCTTATTCTCATGATCTGCTTTTTTTTTCTACCGAAGTTACTCAAGGTCGGCGTTATACGTCTTCTGTTTCCATTCTCCTTTCGAACGTTAATCTACTATTATAGACTCGTCAATTTTTTACACAATCTGTCCATAGTTTCTATGCAATCTCTTTCATTTTTAATCCACATTTAAATTCAGCACTAATAGTTATTAGGTACATAAAATATTAATACAATTTCGTTGCTGAACCATGATTTTAAAATTGAAGAATGTTTGAAGTACATTGCACCATTCATTTATTTATTTGTAGATAAAGTCTTTTCTCATTTTCCTAGATCTACAAAAGTCTTAAAAAGGACTATTTATAGAACTTATAAGAGGTTTAGCAAAGAAATAAGAGTTCAGCCTCCGTTTAAACTTACCTTTAATATATTATTATATTCGAACGTTGGTTGAAACTAATTGGGTGCTTTCCATAGTCAAAAATAAATTATTTAGACTGTTCAATACAATGAAACATTAAGAAATTTCATTAATTTATGTTACGACCAACTTAATTTTAGTATTCTTTCAGCAAATTTTTAAGTAAAAAGTATGTTGTTTGACGCTAAAAAAACGTGACGTCACAATACACAATCTCGTACAAAATTGATACAAAACTGTCGTTTTTGACAGTTCGAAAAGGTATTGAATCTGAATAGTTGGTAAGTACCTACACAATTGAAATCACAAACGTAAATTGATACTAGGCCTCAAACTTTGCTCACTTGAAATGGCGGACGAAATTGAGAATAGACCTGATAAATAGAACTTTTCATATCGTAGATACTCAGTGTTTTATAATCCCTTTTTTATTAATTTGTATTAAATAAATGTTTGTAATAAGTAAATATTACGAATGTTAATCAACACGTAATTACAAACAAAATATAGAATATTACAAATTGTAAACAATAAAATTATAAGAGAAACATATGTATTGGTTTCTTTTTATCATTTGATAATTTTAAACAAACATAACATAACATAACATCACGCCTTTTATCCTCGAAGGGGTGCACATTATACCACTGTACAATGTAACACCCACTTTTCACTATTTATGTTATGAGTCCCATGTAATAGGGGGTGAGCCTATTGCCATATACCGGGCACAGTTCCAGACTCCGTGCTACTACTGAGAATTTTTTTTAAAACCCAGTGCTTTGCTCGTCCCGGTAATCGAACCCAAGACCCCTTACCCGGCAGTCGCGATTGCGACCACTCGGCCAACGAGGCAGTGATAATTTTAAACTGAAATAAATTTATAAAATTGTAATAGTTAAATATATGTTTAGTACTTCATGCTAGTAGGTGCCTTCTAGATTTCAGATTTTTATAAGTAGGAAAAAACAAAAGTTTATTTGCATCGTTACAAAAAGTGAAACAAGAAAAATAGTAAAATAAAATAGAGTACACGTGTGTACTCTAATTTTTGAACTATTTTGGCTGAAAAAGGCCAAGTGCTCAGCTAAAATGCCGTGCCCCGAGAGCGATAACTCGAGTCATGGCGCATCGTAGTATGTCCTTCTGAAACCTAATCACAATATAAATCTTATAAATCACAATATATACATATATTAACAATAACATATTGTTGATCGAAGATATAAATTGATAAATAAGTAGGTACTCTTATGAGTACCTACTTATTTATCAATTTATGACATTACAATTGTCGACATTTTTCTCACAATACATAGTATTCTTTACAGGCCATTTACTCAGCTATGGCTTGCAAATAAAACACGAACCATCAACACCTCTTCAAAAAAAAAGCTAAGCACCATGCTCTATACATACTTGATCACTTAATCACTTTATTTATCATCAATCTTTCGAAACCTAATCTCAGGACTTAATGGAATTGCATCGTTATTTACACGTAATTTGCTTACATTAAGTAAAACAAATAGCGGGAATATGATTTATGTGTGTTAATAAGCATGCTGGTGCAAATTACTGCTCGTTACAGACTGCTGCCTTTGAATGTACACAGTTGACCGACTACGAAGTAAAACGTTGAATTTTATTTTTTTATGCACCATTTATGCTAGCTTGAACTTTGGGAAGAGTTCCACATATGACAAATATTGTTGCACTATAATTAGGCAATATAAGCAAATTTTTTTCATTATAAAATTTAAAAAGGTAAGTACTAATAAATAAAAATACGAAACGACATCTAGGTTTTCAAGTGGGAACCACGCAGCGCTCACTTTCTCTTGCTGTCAACTTTAAAAGGTACATGCGAATTCGACCGATAGATGGCTCTGAATGTCACAGTTCTATAAAGTTCCAATGCTTTCCTCACGTCGTCGCCACCTTCACTACATCTTTTATGTTCAAATAAAAAGTAGGTACCTACATGATGTTATATTAACTGATATGAATTTTTCAGTCCATTTTAGGTACATGTGTTTAAAAGCTATCACATAATTGAAATATTATAAAAAAGTAGGTACCTACTTAATTATTGAACTGGGTAGGATAGATAATTATATTATTATGAATTTCAGTAAACCTGATAAAGTTAGTAAGTAATAGACCTGTAGTGGTTTATATTACGCAGTGTTAGACGGTACCCCTAACATAAATCGCCAGTATGTTTAATTTTATTAAACTACACAACATTATAGAAAAAGTACGTCATTATAATAACCATTAAAATAAAATTACACACCCTAAGAATGTGAAACCAAGACTTCATTATGCATAATTGCATGTCGTCTTAACATAAACACCACGTTTCTTTGCACATGGCTTGTTCATTAATATATAAGAAACTGCGAAAGCCATACATACTACAATCAACAGTTGCCATGAAATACAACCAGGTCACGACATGTGTCAGACAGATCAAAATGCAAAGGAAATTGATAAAAAGCATTAATTGCACTCAACAATAGTCTGTTTAACAGTATAGCAACAAGAACGAGTTCACATTATGTGTGCAAAAACATTAAATCATCGGCTATACAAGTTTTTGAGTCGCTCTCTTTATGCTGGTGCCAGACGTGTGCGCACTAGTGTTCACATTGTCTGGTACGGACCAAATAGCATCAATAATGTCCGTGCCACACAATATGAACACTTAGTTCGCACATGTCTGGCACCAGCATTAACGTCAGATCGAATCTGTTACGGGGTAATGAAACCAGTACTCTTTGCGCTTCATAAGGCACTCAAAGTTTGCAGTCAGCCTATAATTCATAGCTATCGACAGTTCCCGATGTACCAGTGTTGCGAGACACGAAACTAGATGCACCGCTCACTATAATGTACCGTATCTAATATCTATTAATTTACATGCAAACATGTGCGTAATATATATCAATTACAAAACAACTGCATAAGAATGTGCTTTTTAAAATATATTAAGTTATTCGCTTTCGTTTAGATGTCGTTGATGTGTTAGGAAGTTCTTAGGGTTATGTAATCTACAAAATGTTTTGTCACTTTTAATCTACAATCCTGAAAAAAAATACATAATACATAACATCACATCTTTTATCCCCGAATTGGTAGTCACAGGTGCACATTACGGCATTTAATGCCATTGTACAATGTAACACCCAGTTTTCACTATTTATGTCATGAGTCCCATGTAATAGTGAGCCGATTGCGATATACCGGGCACAATTCCAAACTCCGTGCTACTACTAAGAATTAAAAAAAAATCCCTGTTTCTCAAAAAATTGCCTTGTAAATTAAACCTTGATTAATTGATCAATCACAAACACGAAACTGATAAGCTGCTACACTGCTAATCTAGGGATTAACATACAAGACATTGACAAAATCTTGTTCGTAATAAAAATGCATATTGCATATTCATCTAAAGATGGAGAATCATTGCTCGACCTACCCAGTTAGAACAATAGTAAGTGCAGTCACGCATCTCACTGACGTTTCCAATTTCCCACAGCCTCGGCAGCAGTAAGTGCGGGAGCTTATCTTATGCCACCTCGCTTGTTCAACTGCTGTACATCATCATCATCAACAGCCGGAAGACGTCCACTGCTGGACAAAGGCCTCCCCCTTAGCCCTCCACGTCGAACGACAACTCGCCACCCGCATCCACTGGCTCCCCGCAACTCTGGCGATGTCGTCGGTCCACCTAGCGGGAGGTCTGCCCACGCTTCGTCTTCCGGTCCGTGGTCTCCACTCAAGGACTTTCCTGGCCCATCTGCCGTCAGTCCTTCGAGCGACGTGGCCTGCCCATTGCCACTTCAGTCTGCAGATTTTGCGAGCTATGTCGGTAACTCTTGTTCTTTGGCGAATCTCCATATTTCGGACTTTGTCGCGCAAAGAAACCCCGAGCATAGCTCTCTCCATCGCACGCTGAGCGACTTTGAGCTTCTCCAGAAGGCCAGAGGTCAGGGACCACGTCTCGGTACCATACGTCATCACCGGCAACACACACTGGTTGAACATCCTGGTCTTTAGGCACTGAGGGATTTTCGATGAGAAGATTTCGCGTAACTTCCCGAACGCTGCCCATCCAAGTTGGATTCTTCGGGCGACCTCTTTGTCGAAATTGGACCTACCTAGCTGTAT